GAAGTAAGCAGAATCTTCAGAAAGAAGACAAGATGAACTCAGCTGTCCAACAGTTTCTATACAATGGTTGAAAAGGGGAGGGTGCGTATTTCTTGAAAGTTTGAGTTGGGGAAATTTTTCACATACTGCCTCCAGCTGGTCAGTAGAAAGAAACCATATTTTCAAGTAGTTATGGTTATTGGCTTATACTTGTATTTCTTGAGATATATGTGCTGTTTTGCTTTTCATTTTCTGATACGAGTTGTTGGCGTAAGAACATTTTGCTGGTTTCTTTTCTAGAAAAACTTTTGTTGGGCTTAAGGCAGGTGGGATGAGGTAACTGCTGAAGAGAATAGGATTTTCATTTTGGGAGCTTTTCTCAACTTACTTTACTTCTTACTTGTTCTCATGCCTCTATTATGTTCTTCCTTGCACAGAAATGTGGATACTAGCCATTTTTCGTTTTGACCCAATTATCTAAAATTTCAGGTACATAATGATTGCCCTTTCAGATATGCTGCTGAATATAAATAAATCATAGATGTCCATATATGTGTGCATTTTTCCTTAACCTTTCATTCAGATGAGAAGGCAATGAAGTTCATTCAGCTTGAACGACTGTATCATGAGCAGCTGCTTGCTAATCTTTCTTCCATACAGGAGCAGTGGGGTGAGTACGGGCTAAACTGATATGGCAGAAGAAGTTAGTTTGGTTTGTATTTCTAAATAACGGAGCATACTTTTTGTGAGCTTAGAAATGTTACATAGCAAAAGCAGCGTTTGTATCAGAATTTCTCTGAGCTCGTTACGAGGAAAGTATTCCTGCTCTACATTTCTTCTCACAAATTTCATGAAAAAGGTGCAAATAGTTTGTCAGTCTTTACTAATTAAGACTTTGATCCACAGTTGTTTTGAGCTTATTTTTGGTTTAGGGTTGGTGAATCTGATGCAATGAAAATCAAGTGTGTTGTGGAGAAAATATAGTGCTTTTTTTCAGTCTGAAACGAGATTGTAGAGCACACAGAAGAGTTGTCAATATTTCTCCATTAGTTTCATGTATATCTTAAGGAAATACTACTTTTATAAAAGTGCTTTGGTTAAAATTGATTTTGATTTTATTTAGAAAGAAAATGGAAAACAGCAGTTCCTACTCCAGTTACAGCACTGAGGAATTCAGCTAAAGACCTGAGTGGTGAAGAGCTGGAAAAGCTTACTAGAGTTTGCTCTTCACATCAACAGTACGTATACGGAAATATTTTTACTTTTCCAGTACTTATCTTAGCATAGCTGTTGTCTCCTTGTCAATACAGGTCTTTTAAAATAGTCGATGTCAAAATAAAAGCTGCATCCACTGACGGCAGTGAATTTGGTTATAAAGTGGTGATTCTTTTGGATATGTAACTAAAATTTGTCCATTACAACGAATTTTCACAATGTTTTAACACAGTTTAAAGAATGCATAGGGACTAGATCTGGTTTCAGCAAATCATTAGTTTGGCAGAAACGGAGTTTTGAGTTTTAGTATTTTCAGTCAAAGTAAAAACTGAATAGCGTTAATTTAGGAAGAGAGAGACTATAGAACTGATGATGGTGCTTGTTTCTAACACCTGTTTGTTTAACTGTTGTTCTTAAATTCAATTGTCCAGCATCTCAGACTCCAGCATCTGCCCTAAAGGTTTTAATTCACAAATTTCCCATGTTTTAGGACATTTCCCAATGCTTTAAGTCATTCTAGTTATCTTCTCTTGATTTCATGTAAGTTACATAAATTTTATGAAGTAGTGATTCTGTAGTTCCCTAGTGTGGCAGTACTCTGAAAAATTGTGAAATCCTAGTTCATACATGCTTTGCCTGATTCATCAGCTTCCTGAATCAGTATATCACATTATCACAAACTCTTGGACAGTGCCTAGGGTGCTCTTCTGGGTAGTAACACATATGGGATTTTACCCATCAGGAAGGAGAAGATCTGTTATTTCATGGGTGAATGTCCTACCTACCTACATACTAGGCATTGAGTTTAAGGGACAGATGGGGAAAAAAAAATAAATATATACCAGGTGCCAATCAATAGAAAATGATCGGGCAACAATAATAAGGCAACTAACCACATTCAAATGCTGTGAAAAGACCAACTTGTGATGAGGGAGATGCTCTCAATCAGATAGGGAGAGAGAACTTTTTCAAATACAGTTGCATTGGCTTAGTCTGGATGTAATAAAAGCCAACGTGCTCCTGTTGTTCATAGAGAATATGATTTTTTTTCTTCAGGATGACGACAGAGGAGTTTGAGAACAACCAGGCTGATAGCCAGAACACAGCAGAGATTGTGTGTTTTGGTGGGAGTCCCTGGAAAATGTCCTCCTGCATTTCCTTAGGAGGAGGGAGCAGCCCTAGCACTGTGGCTGCACGTTTACACCCACAGCCTGCTGCTACTGAGAGATTGCCTCTGAGTGCCTGCAGGGTTCCTTAACCTAAATTACCTTGCAAGCCCACAAAAAGATTGAGATCCAAATCTATTGTAATTTATATGCTGCATCTAGCAGCACCTCCCTATTGTCACCTCAGTTGTCACTTTGTTGAGAATAACTTTGCTTTCTCCTAATTCTTCCATGCAGCCTCATTTCAAAATACAAAATTTCAGTTATGTAACATCATTCCTGGTTCTGAGAAACACTGCAGTTCAATAAAAATTAAGGCTTGTGTTCATTTGTCATGATTAGTTCTGTCTATTTAGTATTATTACTCTTCCAAACTCTCTGAGCAAAAGATTTATTCTTTCTTTTTTTTTCCCCCTAAACTTTAATCTCCACTTATTTTGTAATTAAAATTATGCTTCAATTTTTAATGAATGGCATGCAGGTCTCAGAAAATCTGAGCATTTTGCTTTTGTAGTTGAAAGTAATGTAACTCTTTCTGATACTCAAGGTCTACAGCTACATACTGAGCATGTTTGTTCTTTAAAGGTAGATGGTAAAATTTAAAAGTCAATGCAACTTTTAAAACTTCTTTGTTAGAGAGTATGAGCATCAGTTCTTCTGCCTCTTCTCTCCTGCTTTTTTCAGTAGTTTACAAATTGCTGAACATTTTTGCCTTCACTGCTGTGTGAAAGGCTGTGAGGCACACTGCATGCTAAAACACATTGTGCATGAATCTATACACAGTTTGCAAAGTCCACGCATTGTTGGCAGTGCTGACTCACCAGTGAATCCCAGTGGAAGCTGCTGTATCTTAAGAAGCCAGAAACATGTCCCATGTAAACAGTCTGTGGAGAGGGAAATATGTTTTGGGGGGACTTTTCCATTCTTCAGTCTCCGTTAGAAAGATCAGTAGTTGTAACACTGGTAGATACTAAGTCGTTACATGACTTTTAAAGTTGGTGGAGTTTTGTTTGACCATAAAGTTTTACAGGAAGTTAAATCCTTTGATACTTTGTGGTAAGTTTTCTTTTGACTGCTTCCTTGATTAGGTGGAGCAGTGTTTGGGCTAATTAGTCTTATCATGATATTCACATGTAGTACGGATCTGGGCTTGAAATTATGCTAGCATGCTGACTCTGTTTCAGTGTAAGAAAAGTTCTGTGCTAATAATAGAACAGAGCAAAGGTTTATAAGATTTCAGTTACATTTGTTATGAAGTGTTGGTACTAAGTTGTTTAATTTGTTCTTTTTTTCTTTGTTGCTGCAGGCCACAGGCATCCAAAAATAAGGTAAGCAGCTGTTTAATTGAATCTGCTTGGTCAAAGACTGCTATAAATATATATTTAATATTATTAGATATAATATTTCCAGTTTAGTACAGAAACTGTTTGAAGTTTGGATGCTTCAAAGAGTCACAGTATTTCTGTCTAATTCCAACACTTTCGGGAAATACTGTCATATTTTACAGCTACTAGCTGCAGGAAGTACATGGGAGAGCGGTGGTTTGCTTCAGTTAACGGAATCAAAAAAATTAAAGGAAAGAGAAGCTGCTGCTTTTAAATCAGGTATGTGTGTGTTGCATACATTTGCTTTAAATACTATACCGTACTGACATATTCCTATGAATACTATGAAACTATTTCATTTGAAGCTACAGCATTTGTTGGATTCCCACAGATTCATCCATTTATGCAAATTTATTATTTTTCCACAACTGCATAATGGATATATGCTGCAATTTTAATCAGCTGTTGATATTCAGAATTGTAATTTAAGTAATTTTAGCCCCTGTCAAAAAAAGGTCTTTTAAATGTGTGTACATTTATAGCAGCCTACATAAACTACAAAATTGTGTAGAACTAGAGATAAGATACATAATTCAGATGTATAAAACGTAGGGGAAACAATCTGAGGACAAATATTCTGAGTTGTGGCAATTCAGTATAGTTAACAGTAGTAACTATTTTAGTAACTATTTTAAATTACATGATTTTGAGACACATTTTTCTGTAACAGCACAGAAAATTAGGAAGCTTTTGGGGGTCTTGAAGAGAAAAACCTACTTCAGTTATTTTTTTTTTTTTCAGTACACACTTTTATGTCTGCTTCATTTTCTTCCTCCTGCCTTGGCTAGTTTGTTTGAGTAATTTGTTAAGTCATTGGGTTCTTACGAAACATTTAAAAATTAATCATTGAAATGGAGAGGGGGCAAAGAGCACTGGTAGGCTACCAGGCTGTGCTTCATCTTTCTTCTCTTTTGAGTAAAAAGTCTGTTGTTGTTTGGGCTTTTTTGCCACATTTCAGTTGCCAAAATTGCCCTAAATTGTGTACTTTTCCTCAAAAGCAGCAGAATTTCTCACAAGAAAAAAACGAGGTTGGCCTAAGTGACCTGAGGAGGTCCCTTTCAATCTGAACTATCCTACAAGTATGTATCAGCCAGGATGTTCAGGAGAATCAGGAACTAGACAAAAATACAGTGTCACAGTTCTCTACACCTGTAGATCCTCCTCATCTTCATCCTCTTTGACCATGACCCTTCTGCTTCCATGTCTTTGTTCTTGTTACCCAACTAAACACAAAACATTGAAAGCACAAAACAAACATGTTCTACAGCTCACAAAGTGGATCAAAAGAATGAACCCAATGCTTTTTCTTTTTTTTTGGGGGGGGGGGGGGGGGGGCTTTTTTTTTTTTTTT